AGCCTCTCTCCCTTCGCGTTTTCTTCCGTTCCCCGCTGCTGTGGGGATGGGTCCGGTTTCAGGGCAGAAGCCGCCGCTGTGGGGTGAGGAGCCCGGCCGTGGTGGACCTGCTGCAGTACCGTGAACCCGAAGATCCTAGTTTCTGATCGTCGCTTCTTACTTTTTTTTTTTTTAAATTCCCTTTTAATTACGTATGTGCGTGAATATGCAGAAAGAGCTTGATCTGGGATTTTGGAGGTTCAGCACATAAGGCAGTTTTGCATTATTTTTCTCTTGGTGATTTGAAAAATTGCAGACTGAATCAGATGAGTATAATGAAGATGGATTAGGACATCTTAAAATGCAACACTTCCTTCTGAAGTCCTAGCTCTTAAATGTGTTGCATGTGGGTAGATGCATGCAAACCTTAAGCCCCGAAGGGATCCCTAGAGAATGCACTGGTTTCCACAAAGATAATAGAGGAGAATCCAAGCTAGTATAAAAACTGTTTTGCTTTATTCTCAAGAGATAGGATTTATGGTTTTAGTTTTAACTTTTTAACCTATTTATCTTACTGAGAAACTGGATATCTACACAACTCTTAAGCCTTTTAAAGAGTAATATAGAGTGTTTGCAACACTTTTCAATGCTGAGCCTTTGTGAAAACCAGTGATTTTTTTTTCTTTTGTTGAGAGGTGAATTGTTTGCTTTTCACTTTGGCAGAGAAAATTCATAACCAACAAATTGATTGCCAACTGTGAAGTCTTATATTTGAAAGAAAAGAAGATACTGCATATTTAAAAGTATACAAACTCAAGTTTGGGGGCCAGACTTGAACTGATGGTTGTGGTCTAGATAGAAGCAATAAGAAGGCTAATCTTTAATTGTTAATTTCTTGCACTATCATTAAAAGTGACACCAGTAGTCCTGGTCAGACCTGGAGTTTCATTTTCCATATTAAACAGCACCATATTCAGAGAAGAACCTGTCAAAAAGAAAGTCACCAAAAAAAATTCTGTTAATGATTTAGGTAAGGGTCAGATCTTTCCATCCTGCTCAAATCAGTTATTTCCAGTGACATCACGTGCTGTACAGTTTGACTTCTATCTGTGGTTATCTTTAAACACAATTATTCTGTTTTGAGTTCATAGATAATTAATGTTAATTTTCTTCAGCTATTTAAATTGCTATGTGTTGTGTTACTCTGCTACATAACTGGAAAGAAGTAACTTTTAAGGCAGCTTTGATATTTGCTCCTTTACCTTATAAGTCCAGTGTTTTCCATATGTTTTTGTTCTGTGTATTGAAGGTGACAACAGAGGTTGGAAGACTTCTTGGTGAGGAAAAGGTCGATGCAATCGTGTGTGTAGCAGGAGGATGGGCTGGAGGCAGCGCCAAAGCTAAATGTAAGCCTTTGGTACATGCATACTAGTGAACCCATGAATCAAATCTAAGAGGAATCTTTAAAAATGAGGGTAATAAAGATTTTGAGATCATCTTTCTTCCTCAGTCCAGAAGAGGACATGATCATAAAAGTACAAAATAGCTCAGTCACAATGCTGCTTAGTGCTTCTCTGAATTTCTGCTGTCTGTTAAATTTGCACAGTGCTTAGTATTCTCAGTAATGCTTTTTGATGCACCAGTTTTCATCAGAAAAACCTTGATGCGCTTGGTGAAGGAATTCAGCATTATTATCTGTGAACTTTTTGCTGAGGTTACCTGTGTCAGGTAAGATATGTAAGACGGTGGTTGAGTAGAAACATTGATGTTGTTTCCTAGTTCATTGTTTTATGCATAAAACCTCAGTTGCTTCCTGCAGTTCTTTGAGCTATTATTATGGTGCAATACAGTATTGGAAGGAGCTGTCTGATGACCTGAGATCATGCTAGAGAAAAAAGCCTTCAGTTTAAAAAAAGCTTTTAAACGTGTAATATTCAAAATGAAATTTTATACTTTACTCACTAGTTCAGAGATACGAGGAAAAAAATAGCTTCGTTTTCTGTCTGGAGTAAATCTGGTAAAATGTGTCCTTTTCTTCACCCCTTCCCATTTGGACATTGCAGGCAAAGATTTCTTTTTAAAGAGAGACAATATGGAAAGGCATACATGCTTACACCACAGTTGTATTATATTAGATTGTTATTAGTGTCCACCATATTTTAAATAAGCTGATTTATAGTAATGTTATTGGTAGGGTAGCATGATATCTTGGGATAGGTGGTCAGCTTATGTCACTGAGTTAGTTATGCTTATTCTATATTGTGTTACGGAAATGGTTCTTTCTGAATACTAGAATCTTTGACATGGCTAGTTACTGTTTTTCTTCTTTACCCATGCAGATACTGATAATAAAAAACCATGATGAGAGTTCAGATTTTACTTTCATTTGAAGTTATTGCTGTACCTTCCCCAGTAGGTATCCTTACCAGAGGTTGTATACAGTCCAGTATGTAGGGGCACTGGAGTGCACACTTGGTACAGTGCAAATGCATGCATCTTCGATATTCTATATCAGCATACTACTGTCAGATAGACAGATTACTTCTTGGTTTATGAAGTAATCTGGTGATAAGAAACATTTTTTTGTTCAACTCCTTTATCTCTTGGAGTCTTCTGTCTGTGTACTAATGAAGCGTAGCTTTTTTGCAGCCAGTGAGGAAGTTATGGAAAGAGACAGATCATACTACTACAAGGTGAGATGAGGCTACTGTGAGAGTTTTTTGAGATGCTTGACATAGATTGAAGCAACCCTCATAGGAGTTTCAAGATCTGGGAAATCTTTGAACCGTTATTGGAGAACTAATGAAACTATCTTGTGTTTAGTTGGTTGGTTTTTTTTATTTCTGGTTGTGAGAAAGTAGGTAATTGACTAGAATATATACTGTAGAGCTGGGACTCAGAGACCAAAGAGAAGGGAGATACAAGAGACATAAATTGATTCCACCCAAAGTGGAAGTAGAAAATGGTAGAAAGCATGTTTTCATAGTTCTGTTGCATTCTGTAAGGCAATTAGAGTTAGAAGTCTTCTATGTTTTGTTTTATTTTGCTAATTCTCTTCCTAATCAGCTTTATACAAAAACTGTGATCTGATGTGGAAGCAGAGTGTTTGGACATCAACTATTTCGAGCCACCTAGCCACAAAACATCTGAAAGAAGGCGGCCTCTTGACCTTGACAGGAGCTCAACCTGCTTTATCTGGAACCCCAGGTAAAATGCAATGCGTGATAAGTGCTGGGACATCAGTACTTGGCTGATGTACTTGGCTAATATATGATACAGTAAAAAAAGTTTGGAAAATAATGAATAGAAGCACACAGCAAGCTGTAAGTACAGTGCTTAAATAAAGTTCAGTCTCCTATTTGTGCTGTGAAAGGCAGAGTCCTTAATTGCCTAATTTTTCCATTGGCGATGACTCAGCTGATTCTGTTAACTATGCTTGTCCTGTTCATGTTCTGATTCTAGTCTGCTTTTGCTTCAGACATAGATAAGCTTGTTGACCTTTGGCTTTGCCCTCCATTAGCTTTTTAATAAGAACTTCGTTGAGTTTTTTTCATCTCTCTCCTTGCCATGTTGGTCTGCATGGAGGAAGAAAACTGGGAGCAATTTAAAATAAAAAAAAAAGCACTGACAGACAAGCCCACAGGCAGGGAGACAAAAGTTTTTTTGGGACAAATACTCTTATTTCCCAATCTTACATTAGCGTGATTTCAGCAGTACTTTGATAAGACATAGATACTAAAATTTTAGAACACATACAATTTATGAATATTCCTGAAAGCTTTATCTGAAACTGTTCAGGAAAAATATGCTGTATTTTCTAGTTAATGATTTATCTTCTATGTTTACAGCTGCATCTGGCATAGTCTGAAGACAAAAGGCTTATTTTATGAGAACAAGCAGATGAGTAATTTACTGTGTACTACTGACTGGCCATATACAAATGAAAAAAATGTCAGCTCTGGCAAACTTACGTGTTTTTTTGTTTGGGTGGTTTTAGGAGGTAGGGACCACAACACAGGAGTCAAAGTGATTTGCTTTCATGTTTTGAACTAGCTGGTTTCAACTAGTCTGGATTTTCCTAAAAAATGCAGCAGTGCTTTGGGCAAACATGTGCAACGTATTAACGTCAGGAAGAATTTTAGTTGTTACTCAACTTCTGCAAATATGACTTGTTAGGCTCGTTACTACCAGCCATTATGGAAGAAATAATCTTTTTCTTGTTTGCTGTTGCTGTGATTTTTCTTTTCCTATGTGAAAATGTTGACTCACATAATGCAAACTGAAGAATACTGAAAATTATATAAACAGTTACAGAAGCAGTCTGACAGTGATGGCTGAGAAATGTAGAAGCATGACAACTTTAAGAAGACTTGGAATGTTTGGTTTAGACAAGACAAGAGGGGAATAGGGACTTATAGCACCCTGATTGTCCAGGTCTTGTACTTGACCAGTGTGCCTTATGCTCTCATTCGTGTTGTTTTTACACTGCTAAATACTGTCTGCCTCGAAAGCAGCAGTGTTTAGGAAGAAGTTTGCTTTACCTGCAGGTTATTTAGTAATTTTCTACCATGAGGGGATTTTTTTTGTAGTTTTCTCCAAAGGGGCTGGCAGACTTGCAATGCTGACCGAGTGAATTACGGTTCTGGAGGCAAGTGAGCTGTATCTGTTTGGGTCCAAAACTGCAAATGCCTTAGTCATATGATTAAAATTAATGGATGATTGCTTTATTAAAGTGTATGAGCATCTTCACGCGTACTCTATTAGATTTGTAATGTTAGCCCTGTAGGTCCCATCCTTTGGGATGTATTTGGGTACATTAACTAAACATACTTGACTTGGTAAGCTGCTTATTTCTATAATGCTGAGTAAACGAAGTTCTGTGATAGTTCCTGGATGTTTAGTAAGTGCTTTTTGTTTTTTCTTTTTTCTTGTAATATGTATGTTTTGATATGTTTTAAAAATCTGATTCTATTCTTGCTGTGGTAAGTGGTCTTAATATTCATCAAACAATCTGAGTCTCTATCATACTAGTGATGATACTGAGAGCTGTTTTGGTTGTGCTCTAATTTGCCTGTTTTTAATTGTTAGGGATGATTGGCTATGGCATGGCCAAAGGAGCAGTGCATCAGCTTTGTCAGAGTTTAGCTGGTGCCAATAGTGGCTTGCCATCTGGTTCTGCTGCTGTTGCCATTTTACCGTAAGTGGTTGCGTAGTTGCCTCTACCTGTGTTGTTTTATTTAATTACTGCTGTAACCTAGAGTCACATGGATATGCTTGCTATGTCCTGTTCACAGTACACAAATGGCTTCTCAGATCTAATAACCATTTCACAGAGAAAGGAGGCATCTTGAATGTATGAACAAAATTATATGCAAGTCACCCTAAAAATGATTAAGTTCTCTTCCTTCCATTTGCAAAACAGGAGTGGATGTTAGGATTAAATGTTATGAGGATGTTAGCGGTGTGCTCAGGTAGCCAAGAAGGCCAATGGCATCCTGGCTTCTATCAGGAATAGTGCGGCCAGCAGGACTAGGGAAGTGATTGTCCCCCTGTACTCAGCACTGATGAGGCCGCACCTCAAGTGCTGTGTCCAGTTCTGGGCCCCTCACTACAAGAAGGACATTGAGGTGCTGGAGCGCGTCCAGAGAAGGGCAACGAAGCTGGTGAAGGGCCTGGAGAACAAGTCTGACAAGGAGCGGCTGAGGGAGTTGGGGTTGTTTAGCCTGGAGAAGAGGAGGCTGAGGGGAGACCTGATCGCCCTCTATAACTACCTGAAAGGAGGGTGTAGCGAGGTGGGGGTTGGTCTCTTCTCCGAGGCTACCAGTGACAGGACAAGAGGGCATCATCTGAAACTGTGCCAGGGGAAGTTCAGGCTAGAAATGAGGAGGCATTTCTTCACAGAAGGGGTTGTTAGGCATTGGAATGGGCTGCCCAGGGAGGGGGTGGAGTCACCATCCCTGGAGGTCTTTAAGAAAAGACTGGACGTGGTGCTTAGTGCCATGGTCTAGCTGACATGATGGTGTTAGGGCAAAGGTTAGACTCAGTGATCCCAGAGGTCTCTTCCAACCAAATTGATTCTGTGAATATTTGATTCACTTTTAACCAGTTTTAACAGTAGCCATGCATTAACCTGTGATTATTTTTTTTTCGCAGTGTAGGCAGAACTCTGAAAATGAGATGAGCTATTCAACACATTTTTAGACTTAGCTGTGTGATAATAGTAAAGCAAAGGATTACTTGACAAGTTTTAACTTGGTTAAAGATGCCTCTTCATAATGAGCTGCATATCCATGCCTGATCAGTAAAATGAGGTCACTTTGAGAATCTGTGAAAAGAAAAAGTTTAGCATATGTTTCCTGTCACAGCTTTCTTTTTCATGAGGAAACGTAGTAAAAAATGAATGGCCTAGTAGGTCTTCACTATGTCTAAATTTATCAATTCTACTGCAAAAATTAAAGGTATTTTTCTTGCCAGGTCCATATCTAGTTCAAGACTCAAAACTTAAGACAAATGAGTTCTGTATAGGGATTTGGAACACTACCTGAATTCTCCCATTATGCACACTTCAGGTCAGAGCAGTGGCATTGAAAGTGTTTGGATAATTGACACCACCTTCTCCAGAGCTTTACAGACAGGCAGGTAGCAAGATCACTGGACTTTTGGGCATTCTGCACTTGTGTAGTTCTCACTCAAGAACAGTTTTGAATGAATTTTTGAGAGAGTGATTACACCTTGGATGGTCAACAGCATCTCAGTGAGGGATGACATCTCAGATAAGGTTCACACCTTAATATCATTGTACATAGCATAAACATGTATCATCAAAGTCAAAACTTCTATGCTTGTGTACTTAATCTCTGCATTTGCACCTGGCGTGAGGCTATTTGAAAGCAGGGATGTAGTGCCTGTGTACTGTGCAGTACCTGTGAACAAGCATATTACGGCCATTCCCTGGCTGCATGAGAGAGACTGGAAGGGAGCTGGGGGTTAAGTGATTGCCCTAATGGACTGGATGTCATCAGCAAGCCAGGAAGGTGAGGGGTAATAGGTTTGAGCCTTTGATATACATTGAAGCTGATAGCTGTATGCTGTTAACACATGCAGAGGATGCAAAGGAAATCCATACCACATGGTATAAAAGTCAAGCATATGTTACAGCAATGAATAGAAGCAGGTGGTGCTCATCAGAAACATGATGTATAAATAAAAGGCTTATCTTTTTTTAATCACAGTGTTACCTTAGATACACCAGCAAACAGGAAATCAATGCCTGATGCAGATTTCAGCTCCTGGACACCCTTAGAATTCATTGCTGAGTGAGTATCCATGTGATAACTAAGCAATTCCTCACTGTCCCTCTTGCTGCTGCATCTTACTGCATGTTCTTTCTAAATAGCTGGCTTGGATTTGGGTGGTTTTTCTTCCTCTGTCATCTCCTCATGGTGTATATTTCTAAATCAGGTTGGGTTTATTGCACATGCTTCTCAACTGGAGAAAATTAGCCCAACTCCGTCATCCTCAGCATCTCTACACCAGTTATTCCAACAGGGGAGATAGCCTTAAACAGTTGGAAGCCAGAGAATCTCATAAAGCCTGTAGACAAATTAAATTGCAGACAGCAGATGCGGGAGACAGTAGTCTGGCTTAAAGGTAAACTGCGAATGTGAACTTTGGGATTTTTTTTTTCTCTTTTAAACACTCTTTACTGCTCAGTCTATGGGGTGTTAGTTCACTTCTCTCAGCTGGCAAAATTCCTGCTCTTGTGTAGAAAAATTTAGTCAAGACTGTTTTGTTTTCCATCCTCCACAAAGGCTTGTCTTGAATGACATTGCAAAATACTGAAACTTCAGCTGTAGCTCATGTAACTTCAGGCTGAGATTATAAGGCTTACTGTTCCTCATTCCTGTCGGTTAGAGAAGGTGCAGAGTAAGTACAGCTTTCTGTGATGTGATGGGGAGTAGCAAAGATTCTGCTGAGGGTGAGCTGTGAAAAGGAAGAAAATAAGGACACAACTGTCCTGCCTCTTTGAGGGAAAATGAAGATGAATCTACATTCATACATTGTAAAGAGCTTTACTCTTACACATTTTTAAAATCTTTTAGAACTGACACTGAAATTGCATTTAGCTGTTGCCAATTGTTCAGAGAGTAGTTTAGTTCTGGCATTAGATTTCCTTATTTTTGTGATTTCCCCCCGCCCCTGAGTTGGATGTCAGAGTGGGAAATGGTTTTTGTTGCGAGAAGCCTATGCAGCTGTCCGATGTGGCTCTTTAAAAGGGCCCCATCAGCTGAATTTCAATGGCCTAAAAACATTCAAAAAAAGATCTTTAATTTATTGTGCTCCGGAGACTGCTTAGCCAGATGTTGTGATTTTTAAAAATGAATTTGTAAAACATTAACTTCTAAGTATTTTTTTCATTATGAGAGAATTAGGTTGATTGGTTTGGTTTGTTTCTTGGGTTCTGATTCCCCAAACTTTAAATCCAGCTTTCAAAACTGAAAATCTCACTGGCTGTGAAAGAAAAATATCCAATGTTGTTAAGTGTTGGTGATGTCTGCATCTTAGGAAGGATGCAGAAAATCTTTTTCTATATGGCACTTGAATTTTATGCCCTGGAAGCCATTGTGTCACATGGCAACTGCCATGTTGGAACATCCTGCTATGTCTGCAATATTGGAAGGGTTGATGGACCTGAAGAATATACTGCACTTTCTGTATTATATTTTGAGTAAGAAGTTTGTATTATGTTTTGCTAAGGAGTGTTCTGACACGCTACTTAGAATGAGTCCCATCTTACTCGGCACTATTTTGGATGTCTTAAGGCTTTCTGTGTCTCTGCTGAGACCAGTTTCGCAGTTAAATATCTAAGTGTTACAATGGCCTGTTGGCAGAGTAATAGGTGTAACAACTATTTTAGCCATAAATCTGTGTTTCTGATATATACTATAAAGGCAACTTAAATAGCCTCTCCTTCCCCTTTCCAAATTTTTTTTTTATAATTTGGAAAAAACTTGCTACTCTGACATTTTAAGCTCCTGGTCTTTTCCTTTGAGATGTTCTGAAAATCCTGTGTGTGCTCTAAAGCCCTGTGGATTTCTCTGGGCCTCTGTCCAGCTCTGAGGGTCTAAATCCAGTGATTGCATTACAAGTTTACAACATACATAGAAATCACTGGAGAGGGCAATAGGAAAAGAAGAAAACGTAATAGGATTTCATTTTTGTGCTTCCCGTCAATATACCTGATAGTAGTATTTATTCCCCCCCCCCCCCCCCCCCCCCCTTTATTTTAAAACAGAACCTTCTACGACTGGATGACAGGAAAGAATCGACCAAACTCAGGGAGTCTAATCCAGGTGATAACTACAGGAGGGAAGACTGAACTAGTTGCAGCAGCGCATCTTTGATGTCAGTCAGTTAAGGCAGTGGAACTTCACCAAAGGAGAAGCTATGGAAAAATCTGTCTGTCGGTATAATGTCGATGGTCTTCTGTATCCACTGATTGTAGTTATGTCATTAATGGAACCAGATTTCAAGTAATATTTCTGTGCTGTCACTTGTGAGCTATCAGCATTTGTTTACCAACAAGTATCAAGTATTTGTCTGTAAATGAAAGCTGCAGGCTTTGAAGTCTCTAGATGTCCTAATTCTGAGCGTTATATGTTGACTTACCTGTTTTCTCTGAAATGGGAACTGTGCTTAATTATGACATGTAATCACATACATAATGGTTGGATTTTTTTCTCAGTCAGTAAGTGTTCCTGGCTACTTACTATGAATCTTTCAGTAGTCTGTCTGTCTTTTTCTGTCTGAAGATATAAGCCCTCCCTTGCATATTATGTTGGCTATAATTATAGGAAACGTTGCCGTCATATATAATGTCCTGGTCTGGTAACATTTTTCCTGTGAATGTTCCACTTGAGTTAATGGAACTGTGTAGAGATTACTCACTTGAGAAGGAGTTTCTAATTTGCCTTACAGTTTATAAGCTGCTATCAGGCCTACAGTTGTAGGCTAAAACAGCTGTTCTGTCAAATGATTGGTATGTCTTTGTGTTAGTCATGATGGTTCTTTACTTTTTCAGAAAGCAAAGTGCTGTAAAGTACTAAAGAAAGCATACACACAATTCTCTTTTGAATATGGAACTTTTTGTGCTAAATAAATATATATTGTTTTATGTACTGGGCTGTCTCCATCGCTGTAATCCAAATAATCTGAATAATATTTTAATCAGTTTAACTGAACTTGCAGTTCAGTTAGGGCGAAGGATTTAATTTTTTACTTATTTCCTTCTGATCATGAAATGAATTTCTGTGGAAGAGGTGCAAAAGGGCTACTAGCCATGCATAGGGGCAGACGTTCAGCTGGAGCAAATGTGTTCTTTAATCCAGCTACATTACATGGAAATACAGTTTGGTTGCAGAGCGAAAGTATTGCATGTTCTGAGCAGAGGCTTACAAAGAACCAGTATGGTCAGGTTTTTTGGAACATCTTGGAAACAATTGAATATGCAAAGCTGTAGGTACATTCTCTATATGCACTTTTTTTATTAACTTCAGAGTTGTGTTGGGGAAGGATTTACTGCCATGAGTCAGGAAACCTTTCCCCTCTTCCCACTAACAAAAACTTATGTGTGTGCTGGTCAATTTTAACATGGTCACATGACCTTTTTTGCTGTGACTGTCCCTTTACTCATTTTGCTGGATGCAAAGGTGTAAAGGGGAATTTTGATGTCCTGTCAAACCAGTCAAGAACTGTCAATTCATGAAGCTGCTTTTGATTTTAAAGGGAAGACTCACTGCCATGCATTTGGATAGCGATTTCTACAGGCAGAGAGTACAGACAAAAACTGCAAGGCACTGATAAGGAATGAAACACTAAGGTGCTACCTGATTATTCAGGGAAAGGGAAGAGCTAGCGTACTACAAGCTTACATGATTTGAAGGCTTCCCTTTGCCAAACTAGCTGAATTTCCAAGTTGCTTTCAAGTTGCTGTGTTGTGTTGTCTTGCAAACATCTATTGAATTGCATCTGAGAAGCTCCCTGAAGAGCAGATGAGACTCTTGAATGGTGAAGGGAGCACAGCTGGGATTCCAGATGTACATTTATACAGCTGTATAAGAGCACAGAGCCAAGGACCTAGCAGGCTGTATGGCTCATGGATGTTTTTGCAGAGCTTACTGTGGCAGAACGTGGTAACGCAGCAAATGGGACTAAGACTAGCAGAGAATCTTTTATTTGCTAAGGGCTACAGGGGCTTTTGTAGATTATGTGCACATACCTGGACCTTAATGTTGTTATTAATAACCTGGTGAAAAAGGTAAATGGCTGGTCATTGGTCACATGGAATTAAGTCGTGACTAACCAGCCCTGAGATTATATGGGAGGAAAGAGGGAAACCAGGTTTAAATTTTGGTAGAGAACAAAAGGTCAGAAAAAGACAATGTGGTGTGATCCACGCATTTCAGAAGTTAGATTGATTCTTCTTCACTAGAAAGAGCTGATGATCCTGGTAGGAAAACCTGAGGCAAATCTGTGGTTCTGACCTAGGTGCTTCAGGTATGCTCTGCCTATGTCAACCAGAGAGAGGGCCTCAAAAACAGGGGAGGTGTCTATGCTATCCTAAGGAGAAGGTCACTAAGCTTGTGGAGACTGAACCTGGTTAGTTGTCTCCCACTAGGTGATGTTGCATGAAGGTGCCAGCACCAGCCTAGAAGCAGAGCAGCTGTGTTTGGACAGTGTTGAAGATGAAGCCGTGCTGCCAGTCGCTCTGTGCTGCTGTACGTGTGCAGCTCTAGCTCCAGTGCCGGTTCAACGCCTCACGGGGGTCTGCTGTGCGTATCCTGCCTGCTGCTCTCACCCAGGTAATTAAAGGCAAGGCTATAGTTATTGTAAGACAGAGTAGCTGTGTAAGTGCATGAGATGTTGAATGGAGTGTGAATGTAGTAACAGGAATGTTGTTCTCAACTGAACTTTCCTTCAACTCTTGCTTGAAGAGGGAAGAAGATGAGCAATTTCTCCGTTCCATAAAAACTGTCTACCCCGGTGTCCTCCTTCAACTTGTACTGGTGCCTAGTGGGTAAGAACCAGTAATACAGCTATTGGAAACAGCAATATGTTGACTGCAGCAATGTAGGAGTAATGAAATAGCTGACTGTGAAACAATGAATAGTGTTAAAACATAATTGTGAATGGAAGACTGTTGACTGGATTATTAACTTTTATCAGTTGCAGGTACGAGTGGAAAGATATGAAAATGGCATCGTTGAAGCTTGAGAGTGAGAATGAAGGTGTTGGCAAGTGTATGTCAAGATTGCTGCTAGGAGCGAGAGATTTAACCTGGGGAGTTTGATGGAAAAGAGGCTTTATGTGACCAGTTTCATCCTGTGTCTCTACAAATTTTATTCCAGTTAAGTAATTGTCTAGGGGAAAAAGCCACCCTGACACTGCAAACATCTAGGTTGCCTGACTCCTTCAGCAGGCTCAGAGGTCTGTTGGTGCTGCAGTGAGAGGGAGAGATGTAGTCTGTGGGAACTGCAGGGAGTTAATCCGTACTAAACACACACACAGAGACACAACTGGGAACCGCAGGTCTGTTGTGACAATTTTCACAGAATGGTTTGGGTTGGAAAGGACCTTTGAAGATCACCTAGTCCAGCGTCCTGCCATGGGCAGGGACAACTTGGTGCTTCTTACAGAAACAGAATACCTAATGAATTTCAACTCTAGTGTTGTTGAGAACCCCTGCATTGTTCAGCATACTTTACTATTTATATGGCACTATCAACAACAACGTAAGACTGCAGAAGTAAGTTTATTCTCCCTTAATTTAAGGAATGCAATATGTATTAATTTCTTATATATATATTAAGCAGGTGAATTTATCAGTTTTTTTTATTTAGGGCTGTACATCTGGTGTCACATTAAAAATTTCATATGCACAGAGCCAGTTTAGTAAGGCATTTTTCTATACAACCTCCTTTTGAAGATGCATACAACTGTTTACTAAAGAAAGAGATAGGTGAAGCCTGGGGGAAAAAACCACAAATCGTGCCAGATCAGTCCTGCTTTTATGCTCTAACTCATTTGTGCTTAGCATTCTGGTTTTTACAGGTGTAGCAGTCTACCCCCTCTTTAAAAAAGGATGTTTCCAGACCTGAACCAATGTGCCTTTGAAAAGATGATGCAATTGCATGGTACATCCATACACCACACATAGGTACAGTTAGCCCAAACTGGTACAGCTGTTACACACATGGCATCAGGTACAAATGTGCAGAGACAAAACATGGTGCTCTCAGAATGCCATGGCAACCAGGACATGTCCATTCTGTATGAATATTTTTTTCTCCTACAGATACAGAAAAAGTAGATTTTAATAAAGCACAAGTAAGCATAAAGGAGACTTGTACAGTAGAGTACAGTAGTATCATTACAAATCCAAAGACCTCCGAATAGCGGGCAAGAAGCTGTTTTCGACATTTCAGGCGTAAGTGGGTGAGGACCTGGGCTGCTGTTCGGACTGAGACTGCCGTCCCACGAAGCCCCACCCATGTACGGTCCTGTTGCTTTGCAGAACCCTTGGTTCATTGCAGGACTGAGTCTGAAATGTTTTCCAGTTTTACTGTGAAGTGAAATTCACAGATTTTACCAACAGATTTAATTAGTTTTTCAAAGTTATTTTTTTAATGGCAAAATTAGCTAATAACAGTTACCACAAAATGAAGGTTTAAAATTATGCTTAGCACCCAGAAAACAGATGGAGTGATTTCCAAGTACAATGGTAGCTGAGTCATTTGCAGTTGCAGTTCTACATTAACCCAAAATTGCACTTTGAAACCTTTTGTTGAAATAATTCATTATGCTAAACAAGCACGATTTTTTATAGGGGAATGAAAACCACCACCACAACAAAAAGTAACATTTATTATCTTGTTTCTTCTTCCTTGTATTGGCTCACTGGAAGAAAGCAGATGGGGACTGTAAGAGCATGTGGAGATGCTTCAGACTAACCCTTGTCGTGTTGAACAAGGTGAGAAGTAGGCAGACATCTGAAAAGCACTGCAGAAGTCAATCGCAAATGTCACTTGAGATTCCGATCCCTGTCAGACAGTGTCATTCTTGCACTTCCTGAGACACCATGTTCTAAAGGATTTGCTTTAGAAATTCGGCCAGTCTCAACGCTGTCTGCAGGGACTCTTCGGGGGTACGATCACAGACTCCCACAGCCGAGTTGAGGCTGG